GGGCCTCTAGTTCTATTATAATAGCCCCACCTTAGCTCCATCTGGTTGCTTTCTACCACCTTTTCTATCCTGCCCCAATTCTTGAGAACAATAATCCTATCTTTTAAAAAAGTATTTTTATTGATTTTTAGAGAGAGGGGAGGTAAAAGAGAGACAGAGAGAGAAACATCGATGTGAGAGTCAAACATTGACCAGCTGCCTCCTGCACAGCCTCTACCGGGATTCAAGGCCACAGCCCAGGCATGTGCTCTGACTGGAATTGACCTGGTCACCTTAACCAACTAAGCCACACCCACAGGCCAGAGCAACCATTTCTTATTTATCTTTACATCCCCTAATGCAGTACTTCTTAATTTTGAATGTGCATAAGGACCACCTGGGATGTTGTTGAAATGCAGATGTTAGTTGAATCCCTCTGGCTCAGGTTCTCCCATGAGGCTGCAGTCATGCAGGGTGGAGCTGCAGGAAGGCTTGCTGGGGCTGCAGAACCTGCTGCCAGCATGGCTCGTTCAGACGGCTGTCCTCTCCATAGAGCTGCTAGAGTGTCCTTGTAACAGGGCCGTTGCCTTCTACCATGCCAGTGATCCCCTGCTGTGGCTCGTCCTGGCTCCATGCTGCCTTTTCTTAGTCGTCTACTTTATTCTTTTGTGCGTGCCTGTCCAGTTTCCCCAACACCATTTATTGAAAAGACTATTGAAGAGGACTGGGCATCTGTACTTTTTAAATGCTCTCCTAGTGATTCTAATATTTATCCCATAATTAGACCTTAAAATTTTAAAGTTAAAAAAATCTTCAAATGGGACTGCAAAAATAATCTTACTTAAAAGAATGCTGTTGAAGGATTCTTAAGGTTTGAGAGCGTCTTTTCCTTCCAGCTCTTAGACATATGTATCTAAGTGTGATAGGTTGATGAGTTCATTTTAAAATAGAACAAAGTTCAGCTTTAGATTCCCAGAAATAATAAAATCTCGTCGGCAGAAATGACTAGTATTTTACTCCTATTGGAGCTGATATCTAAGAGAATGCTGCTAGTTTCCCAAATTCTGATGTATGCATGTCCAGTCAGCATCCCTGGATTAGGCAGACGTAAGTGTGTGTTCCACAATATTTGCTTGGAAAAAAATTTATGCTTGATATTTGAAAAATGGTATTGAAGGAGTCATTGTGGCAAAAAAATAAAAAAATAAAAATTAGAATTGCATTGGCCTTCCTTACACTTATCCTCTCTCTGGGAGGTGGGAGGTGCTCCCAGACTGGTTGGGATGTAACCATTGTTTCCCACCCTCTTTCCTCCCACCCCTGTCCCCACCCCGGTGTCAACACCAGTCAATTAGAAAGTACCACAGGAGGGAGCTTGTGCCTGGCCCAGAGGGTTTAGCCCTGAACTAGATTGAGAACAATGTGCTAATTGTTCTTTGTTTGCTGAGCAGGGTCTGGTGCCTGCACGGAGCTGGCTCTGAGAAGACTCCAGAGCCGGTGAGCAGGTGCTGGGATCCAGCACTGGCTGCCCTGCTGCCTGCCAGGGAGGTGGTGGTGGTGTGTGTGTGTGTTGGGGGAGGGGGGAGGTTGTGGCACACAGCAGGTGCATAATATTTGGATTAGAAACTTTGCTGAACTTAAAGGTTCAGAGTTTCTCTAAATAGAGCAAAAGACAGAAAATAGCTAAAGCGTCAGGGTGGTGACCATCAAATCAAAACACTCAACTCCAAGAAGAAAGCAAGGAGCTTATCCCACTGAACTCTAAATACTCAGACACTCCCCATAGAAGGAGTCCTGCCAGAACTCTTTTTGGCCTTCAGGATGTTTGACCTGCTCTAAGCGGGGAGGGGGAGGGGGCGGGGCAGAGACTGAGTTTTCAGCGTCACTGTGGAATAATCCTTTCCACTACAGGGTAGCCCCCAGGTTGTGAATAAGAGAGAGCCTCAGGGAGTCCCTCAACAGCAGGGCTTTCTGTATAGAACACAGGTAAAAAACTATATAGCTACATAGAGCTATACTTTTACTATTGGTCTCCCCGATGTATCAATACAGAAAAGCTTTAAGTATGTGCAAAAGAAAACATACCTTTCAAAAATACACACATGCAAAATTGCCATGGCAGTTATCTCTGGGCGGTAAGAATTTCCTCGTTTTCCTACACTTCTAGACCATCTTACTTATTTTTATGCATGTGCATATGTATGTGTTTATATGTCTGTCTAAAACTCGGGAAAACCATGAAGCTGGTTTTACAGTAAAATCAGCCTGAAATTCACATGCATGCTGATGGCCATGTGTTGAATTATGAACGGATGTGTGGATATATTGGCCTTTGGGCGGGCATTCTCTATGCCCTCTCTCTAGGGAGGGAAGGGAAATTTTTTTCAATGCACATGTTCTCATTAACATGATTGAAAGACTGTGATCATTTGGATAGTATTTTGTCCGTGGAGCCTTTAAATGGGAGAGACTTACATCTCAAGAAAAGTGTCCAATGCTTCCCTTTGGTTATTTAAAATCCGTAAGGCCATCAAAAGCAGGGCTGAGGCCTGTCTCCTGCCACTCTGACCAAATGCCACTGGCTTTCTTTTCTCTCTCTCTTTTTTTAAAAAATTTATTTTATTCATTTTTTACAGAGAGGAAGGAAGAGGGCTAGAGAGTTAGAAACATCGATGAGAGAGAAAGATCAACCAGCTGCTTCCTGCACAACCCCCACTGGGGATGTGCCCGCAACCAAGGTATATGCCCTTGACTGGAATCGAACCCGGGACCCTTCAGTCAGCAGGCCGATGCTCTATCCACTGAGCCAAACCGGTCAGGGCTGGCTTTCTTTTCTTGGCAGAATCTCTGCAGAGTTGCCAGGCAGAGGAGGTCATTATGACGATATCAGCCCATGAACTTGTTCCAATTTGGCTGTGGGCACTCTGTCTGCCTTTGACCCTTCACTCTGTTTCACTCTCTAGTCACTAGGTCACAGCTACAATGCATGGCCCTATCAAGCAGCCAGGGAAAAACCAAAGGGGAAAAAACAAACCAGAACCTAACCCTGTGCGTTTGCTGGGACTGATATGATAGCCCCTACTCTGTTGTTACAGAGGAGGAAACTGAGACGTGGGGAGGTTCTGGGATTTGTCCTGAGTTAGCTCCCAGCTTGGCTCTAGTGCTGCTGCACTGTGGAGAGGCAGAGGCTGGCCTGTGATGCCAGCTGCCTTGGCACAGGCATAGGAGCTGCTCTGCCCATGCTACCGACTCATAGCCACTCTCCCATCGGACCTGCCCCTCCTCAGTCTTCTAACTCCACACCACTAAGTGATGGTGATGTATAGGGGCTCAAGCGGACTGAACTCCATTTTATTTTAATTTTTGTAAATCATTTTATATACTATTTTTTTTTAATTTTTTAAAATGTGTTTTTATTGACTTCAGAGAGAGGAGGGAGAGGGAGAGAGAGTTAGAAACATCAATGATAAGAGAGAATCATCTAATGGCTGCCTCCTGCATGCTCCCCACTAGGGATCAAGCCCACAACCTCCTGGTTCATGAGTCGATGCTCAACTGCTGAGCCACACCAGCTTGACTATACTTTTTATTTTTTAATTACATAAGAAATACATGCAGATACAATATAAGAAATTCAAACTATGTAAAAATCTATATATATATAAAAGCCTAAGCAACCATTACGACCAAACGACCGGAATGACCAGAACAATTGGTCGACCAGTTGCTATGATGTGCACTGACCACCAGGGGGCAGACTCTCAACACCAGGAGCTGCCCCCTGATGGTCAGTGCTCTCCTACAGCCAACCTCCCACACCAGCCAACCTCCTGTGGTCCCTCCCCCCGCTAAGGCTCCAGGCACCAGAGAATCTGGGAACGGGAAGCCTATAGGAGGAGAGCGACCCTGATGCTGATCAAGACAGAGTAGCAGCTCGGAGGGGGCAGAAGGGGCAAGGCAGCAGCCTAACTGAAAAGATGTAAAGTAAGCACCACCATCTTCTTATCTCTGCCACCACACTGCATGCGCCACTTACCCCTGTCAGCCACTTCTAGCTTGGTCCACACTTTTCCGGGCTCCCAAGCGCTAAATGGCTAGCGCTCCTACAGCAGTGTGCCATCACTGGCCGAAGTCAGCTACCTATCATGCTTGGGGGCGGAGCCCCGAGAAAATGTGTGGCTGAGGTAGGAGAGACCATCTGTCTGTCTGTCTGTCAGAACTCCGCCCCATGGACAGTGAGGCGGCCCTAGGGCAGGCAGCGAAGTAGAGCTGTATTTCCACCACAGAGCATAGCTGATTTCAGGCCATTTTGGGGCACTCTGTCTGTGATCTTTGATTGCCACTACCTCAGCACATCTACACAACTAGATCAGGGCCTGCTGGCCAACCTCCTGCAGTCCCTTCCCACAGCCGGCAGGCCCCAATCGCCCCCACCCCCCTCCCATGCACAAATTCATGCACTGGACCTCTAGTATAAAATAAAAAGTGAAAATTCTTCTTAACCACCTCATCTAACACTTGCCTCAAAACACACATTCTCCAGTCTCGCTTATCTAGCTCAAGGTAATCTTACCACCAAGATCATTGGTGTATACTATCCCGCAAAATAGCTGTCAAAACAGTTGCTATGGACCTGTGATTGCTATATGCCTCCTGTTCGTCTAGCTATTTTCAGTTTAATGTTCTATCAACGTGAGGGCTTTGCCTAGGACTGCTCATAAGGATGACAATTCAAGGTAGGAGGGGTAGCAATGTGGGTTTAACGAAGAGCTGTGGCAGTAGAAATAACCCTGAGGGCTCAGGTATGAATAGACCTTATTCAAGCATGGTATGTCTAAGACCACAGCATGGCTTGTCTGGTCTCCCACCTCTCTTCCCTTCTTTTAACATAGATGGGCCCTTGAATACCTCCTTTCTCATTCTCTAGGACCAAAGCTGGCCCTAAGAAGGGGGGACTGCAATCGGATCCCAGCAGCAGCTACAGCGGCGCTCGTCTTCCCAGGCTCTTCTTGCTCTCTCCTTTAGCTTCCGGAAATATGGCCTCTGCTGTGGCTGTCTCTGATGGAGTCATCAAAGTGTTCAATGACATGAAGGTACGTAAGTCCTCAACACCAGAGGAGGTGAAGAAGCGCAAGAAGGCGGTGCTTTTCTGCCTGAGTGAAAACAGGAAGAACATCATTCTGGAAGAGGGCAAGGAGATCCTGGTAGGTGATGTGGGCCAGACAGTAGACGACCCCTACGCCACTTTCGTCAAGATGCTGCCGGACAAAGACTGCCGTTATGCCCTGTATGACGCAACCTATGAGACCAAGGAGAGCAAGAAGGAGGACCTGGTGTTTATCTTCTGGACTCCTGAGTCTGAGCCTCTTAAGAGCAAAATGATCTATGCCAGCTCCAAGGATGCCATCAAGAAGCTGCTTACGGAAATCAAGCATAAATTACAAGCAAACTGCTACGAGGAGGTCAAGGACCGCTGCACTCTGGCAGAGAAGCTGGGGGACAGTGCTGTCATCTCCCTGGAGGGCAAGCCTTTGTGAACCCCCTCTAGTCCCCTGCCTGGAGCATCTGGCAGCCCCAGACCTGCCTATGGGGGGGTTGCAGGCTGCCCCCCTTCTGACAGACCAGAGGGGCTGGAGGGATCCCAGCAGGGGGAGGGCAATCCCTTCACCCAGTTGCCAAACAGCCCTCCACCCCCTGGACCTTCCTTCTCCCTCCACCCCTGATGGTTCTGGCCTTCCCAAACAGCTTTTGATCTTCTGATTCCTCTTGGGTTGAAGCAGACTAAGTCCTCCCTACCCCAGGCACCCCAGTTTTGGAGAGGGCCTGTATTTTTTTTAATGACACCCCTACTTGCAACCTATTCCCCCCCTTTCCCATGCTGCCAACTTCTAACCGCAATAGTGACTCTGTGCTTGTCTGTTTAGTTCTGTGTATAAATGGAATGTTGTGAAGATAACCCCTCCCCGTGCTGCCTGGTTCCCCTCCCCCTTTCCACCTGGTCTCGGCTACTTGTGGAAGCAGGACCAGTAAGGGACCCTTAATTTTTTTTTTAAAAAAAAAAAAAAAAAAGGAAGAAAAAAAACAATAAAAAGCCTCACTTAATTAAAAAAAAAAAAAAAAAAAAAAAAGAAGAAGAAGAAGGGGGGACCGAATAAGCTCTTTCCCAGCACTCTGTAACTCAGCATCAAGCCAACCTTGCTTCTTTGTCTGACCTTGTTGCTGGTTTTTACAGTGTCCCCAATCCTGATTTTCTACCCTAGATCTAATCAGTGGGTCCATGCTATGTCACTTTCTTGGAAACATGCCTACCACATCAGATCCCCTTAATTTGGTGGGCTGGCTCTGCTCTTTAATCTCAGCACAAGAGTGAAGCCTGATGGTCCATATTGGATTTCCCCAATATAGGACTCTATGTGCCAGAATGTACTTCCTCCTAGCATCCACACCTCGGCCCATCCCTCGCCATTGCAAATGGGCCCCGTTATCCCTAAGATATGGCAGGTCACACAAGCGGGAGAGAAATAGAAGGCAAAGTCCTATTAGAAGGCTGCCAGGTACCTGGGCTACATTAATAGACATCTGAAGCAGAAGTAGCAGGGAAGCATGGTTCAGAATACTTTAGAGCTGGGGAAGGAGCTTAGGTTACTGGTAACTTCTCAGCTACCTCTGCACATGCTCTATAGCCATGGAGCTCCAGCCACAGAGGTGGTAACAGCTGACCAGCAATGTTGCTGGTGGTATTTTTCTTCTTCAACCACCTGACTCCTGTGGTCCATTGCAGGCAGTGGAACATGGTATACTAGGACCACTGTGAGATATCAGTTGGAAAGCAACTTCAGAGTGCTTCCATCCTAAACTTTGTCTTAAGGTGAAGAATACATCCTGATAGGGAATAAAACAAAGAAACCTGCCTTTTGCTGTCCTGGGATGCCTAAACACTGAAGAGGATCCCCCAAACGTCTGCTCTCTGGACCACAATGTTAGATGCAATCGACCTATTGCTTAAAGGCAGAGGCAGTTATGAGGATATGAAGGGAGGAGAAAGAGCTCCGGACTTGCAATGAGAGCTCAGGTGGAGGTTCCAGGTCTGACAGTAAGGAGCTGTGATCTTGGCCTTCAGCCTCCTTACCTGGCCAGCAGGTGGGATGGGTTCACATACCTTCCAAGGTACTTTCCAGCTTTCATATTTGATGAGTCTAAGTTTTCCTCCATGGCTGAAACAAGAGAAACCACTAAGATTCATTCTTACCCGAGCCATTCCACGATGTTCTTAAGACCAGGAAGTGGATGATTTATAAGTTTAATCAAGATGACGCACCTGGCCACCACTTCCAAGGCATGTGCTGGGTGATATTCTCCTAGTTGGGTTTGACAGATAACTAGCTTACAAGGTCTTTTGCAGAAGCATACTCTTGACTATTCTTCCTCCCTGGTTAGCACAGAATTACACACACAATAGGCCCTCAACAATGGATTGAGTGAAAAGGTTTTGACTGAAACATCTTCTTTCCCACCATGGAACAATGAAAAGCCCTGTAGGAAGCTTTGGGGATGTGAAATGTGTTTTGTAGGAGAGAGAGTCTCTGTGCTCACTAATTGCTCGGGGGCCACACACTCACCCCTGCCAACCTGCTAAGTGAAGGGCTCCAGACACATGAATCTGTTCAGATGGAAGAAACTTGGGTTACAAGTTACAAGCCTGCTCCTGCGCTTAGAAAGTTTCTGAAGTACCATATGCAGATGTGCCTCAGAAAGCCAAAGGAAGGAGCACACTGCAATCTGACAGCTTTCTAATGCCCTCTGGAAAGGAATGGCTGTTTCACATTTGCTGTTTAGAACTAAGCAGGCAATTAAAGCTTCTTACGTATAAACGGCAGGGTTGAGTTCAATAGAAAGTTCCTTTTTGTTTCTAACTTTCTTTGGTCATTCATAAGCTTAAATAGCATTAGATATATTCGATTCATACATTAAATACAACTCTTCAGGAAGAAATATTTTTAGGTTTATTCCAGGTGCATTCTAGACATATTGAGAAATCAAAACAATGTGGGGAGGGGTAGGGGGTGGTAGGTGAGTTAATAGAAGGATAAACTGACATCCTAGATTATTTTAATGTTTTCTGCTTCTTTATTTGCAAATGACTTCAGCCATTTTCAAATTATGGGCTGAGAAAAAGGGGACTAATAAAAGACACACCACAGAGCTCAAAGTGTAGTTGAATTTTGGGGGGAAAAATTTTCAAATTGATTTGAGAAAGAGAGAGAGAGGAAGGGAAAGAACCAACGATTTGTTGTTCCACTTATTTATGCATTTATTGGTTGATTCTTATATGTGCCCTGACCTGGGATTGAACCTACAACCTTGGTGTATCAGGATGATGCTCTCTACCCAACTGAGCTACCCAGTCAGGGCTCAAGTGCTGTTTTAAAATGTATTTATATGTAACTTCACCTTATTCCAGAAAGCTCGTAAGGTGGCATAATATAATCTAAAAGTAAAAATCAGAGAAAGAATCAAGGTTGGTACAAACTCCAACAAAGAATGCCATGTAAAGGATCAGTAATAATGCTCTCCATCTTTCCCTTGTGGAAAGGCACTTATTCAAATATAGCATGAAATACTCACATGAGTTAAAAAATGTATCTCATTCTGACTGGCTCAATACTTTCTCAAAGTATTCTCTCATTTAAGCAGGCTCTATGTGATGAAATAAGATAACCATCTACCTAGGGTGCCTTAAATGTCGTTCTTTCTGAAAAGAACATGAATTAGTATAAATTTTACCTCTATAATGTTAAGTGATTACAAAATTGTAGTTTTCAAAACATTGAAAATTATTAATTATTGTATGGACCACACTAACCAAGAGGATTTCTATTTAGGCAGAGGTTTAATTAGTACAGCGAGTGAGATAAGCAAAGCTTGTGTGGAGGGTGATTCGGGCCACAGGAATTGGGCAGACTTTCTGAGGCAGGAATGAGCTTCATGTCTCTGAGAAGTAGAGGCTGGTTTGTTCAGAATCTTGTGTGCATGGCAGTGAGTTGGAAGGAACTGAGGTCCACGAAACCTGGGGGTCAGGTGATATGGTCACCGTCAGTAACTGAAGGGAGCCTGGCTTAATTCTGAGTATGATGAGAAACCATGAGTGAAGTCTGAGCAGGGGAGCCACAGGAAATGAGTTGCTAACTGAAAAGCTCTGTCTGGCTGCTGAGGAAGACTGGATATCAAGGGGCAGGAAGGGAAGCAAGGAACTCAGGAGGTGGGTATAGCAGGGTCCAGGGAAGAGGAGCAGGTGGCTTGCAATAGCTGGAGGTGATAAGAAACAAATTGTGTTGCCCTAACCGGTTTGGCTCAGTGGATAGAGCGTCAGCCTGTGGACTCAAGGGTCCCAGGCTTGATTCTGGTCAAGGGCATGTACCTTGGTTGCGGGCACATCCCCAGTAGGGGGTGTGCAGGAGGCAGCTGATAGATGTTTCTCTCTCATCAATGTTTCTAACTCTATCCCTCTCCTTTCCTCTCTGTAAAAAATCAATAAAATACATTTTTTAAAAAAGAAAAAAAATTGTGGGAAGCTTTTCAAGTAGGTGATGTCGGGAGTCAGGTTGTGGTGTTATGAAGCCAGGATTTTTAATCACAAATGTCAGTCACTCAGGCAGGTAGATGATGTTATCAAGCAGTCATGTGACATTGGCCAGAAAGTGTAAGACACTGCTGAACAAGTGGGGCACACCTTTAAGCAGGTAAATACTGGCATGTGGACCACTCACCTCTCTTAGTAGGTTGTGTTATGGGCTGAATTGTGTTCCTCTCAAATTCATATGTTGAAGTCCTAACCCCCAGTAACTCAGGATGTGAATATATTTGGAGATACGGCCTTTAAAGAGTTAAGGAAGGTAAAATGAGGTCTAATGGGTGTGCCTAATGGGTGTGACTGGTGTCTTTACAAGAGGAGATTAGAACACAGATAGGCACAGGAGGAAGAAACACAGAGAAAAGACAACCACCTACAAGTCAAAGGAGAGGTTCTCAGAAGAAACTAGCCCAGCTGACACCTTGAACTTGGACTTCTGGCCTTCAGAATTGTGAGAAAATACATCTCTGTGGTTTAAGCCACCCAGTCAGTGGCACTTTGTTATGACAGCCCTAACAAATGAATACAGTTGGGTAACTTCCTTGAATCTCTGGGAGGTCCTGTATGAGTTTTACATGTAAGCAGGGCTGCATATATGGAAGACATGGCAGAAGAATATGAAGTTCATGAGTTCCTAGGGGGACTCTGAAAATTATTAGATGACCCTGGCAAAAATCCAAGGTGAGAGCAAAACAGCTCGTTGTCACAAGAATATCTGCAGATGAATTACATGCAGAAGAGAATGAGAAGACATGGGATTTAGTGGAGCAGCTTGGTGACTCCATTGAGTCCCTGGATGCTGGACCATAGCAGGTGACCCCTGAGCACAGTTGGGCCTGTGTTTGAGAAGCTTGTGAAGGTGGTTGGAAACCATGGTGGTGGCATGCGGGGAGCTGAGCCTAAGTGGCCTGGGTGGAGTCAGTAATGATACTACTGTCATCTAAAGCTGCAATGGTAAGAAGCCAGGACTCCACTGACTTCCGGGAAAGGGCCAGAATTGACCTCCTTTTCCACTGAGGTGGTACCTTGCAGCTGAGTGTGGAATCCAACATTCTCTTCTTACCAAATACTTTGTTTTACCATATTTCTTGCTACCTAACCTGTTTCTGGGTTTGCAGAATCTGTTAGGACCCAAACCAGGTCTGAGCAGGCAACTGCTCCAAACTCTGTGCTCTCACTTAGACATATACTTTTGTAATGATCATTTTTCTCTTTCTTTTTTTAACAGTTGAGTTTCACTATAAAAAGTTACCTTTATTAAAATTTCCCATTTTGTTTGTTTGTATGATTTCAACTCCAGGGAGCATTAACACAATAAAATTACT